GGCAAGAAGTACTCTTTACATCTGGAATCAAAGCAACGTTATCCACCTCTCCACATCCACATGTCTCTCCATTTATTGATGGTGCTCCTTCAAAAGCAAGATGATCCAGAAACTCCTCCCCCACATCACACCCACACGCTTTCAATCCGCTCCCCTCCTCACGTCTCCAAAAAGGAAACTCAGTGAGATAACGCAGAGGTTCTGAGAATAAACAAGGGACATCATCCTCACAATTATGTGGGGGAGGGGGTGGTCAAGTCTAGCCAAAACATAACTATCTGCAGAATGGACAGAGGGGGAAGCCAGACTCTCTGAGAACCACAGACTGCCCTTACCCATGGATCCCCTCGGAGGACGATGGGATCTTTCGTGCCGCTGATGGACAGCCAAGTCCTCCGTGGCTGTGTCAGTGGGGTTACCTCACCAACCCTAGATCAATGACATAGTTAAACCTAGGAAAAAGGAAACTGGGCATCACAGCAAAAATGTCCAAATTTCACTGTATTCCAAAGTGCAATAAGTCACTTCTCAAAATGCCTGCTACTTGCTCTTACCGACCAAGCAGGCCTTACTTCCTTTGCATTCAACCTGAAACGGCCTTGGAGAATTGAATATTTACAGCTGTGTTTCCAGCCCTGCTTTCCACGAAACAAGAAATGTGAATTTTTGCCGCTGATTCCCCATGGTCCTAAATTCATAAAACTGAACCTTTCAGGCATTTGAATAATATTTTTAAATGTATTCAACATTACATTCAAATTCCTTTCCCAGGATGCTGTTTTCATTCCAGAGCAGCCGCCACGGGCCTCCACAGCCGGCAGAATTTTCAGACATGCATAAATATAAGCGCACACAGCCGTTTACACTGGTGAAATTTCACGTACACAGGGAGATTATTTTTAGTTATGGAACCCAGTCAAAACTCTGGATAAAGCAAAATCAAGCAAGAGCAACATTGGTAGACAACGTGATGATATTCTTATTTTTTCCTCTCTTTTTATAGTCTTTTCTAGAAATTTCTAGGCATGAGTCAAGAGAAGTAAATGACTCAATGAAGGCAGTTTTGATGATAACGACAGCAACATCAGTAGTCAAGTTATTCCCCAACATTTTGTTCAATATGAAATCCATATATAGACAAGATCACATCTCTCCAGACAACTATCCCTTTCCAACAGGTCAGAGCAAAGTTAGTTTGCCCTTTTGGAAAAGGGAAAAAAACAAAGCATTCATCAGATACATAAACAGTCCAGCAAAAATGATTAAACATCCACTAGAATACATATACTCCCTAAGGGCTAAGACTTGGTCTGTCTCGTTGTTTGCTGTAACCCCGACACCTACAAAAATAACTGGCACGTAGTAAGTGCTCAATAAAATCCATGTTTACACACTCCAGTGTGTGGCTAACTAATCAATGTGCTAGAGCTAGACCCTACCAGTCAGCTATTGCCACAATAATACTGTGTGGCCAACCACCACAGAATCTCAGCATCATAAACAATTTTTTTCTTCTTGTTCACACATCGGTTGGTTGGCTAGAGTTCAGACAATCTAGGCTGGGCTCAGCTGGGTTCGGGACAGTTCTCTGTGTCTCTCATCTTCTTTAGACCAACAGCACCTGAGCCATGGTCTCTCAGAGAAAGGGAGGAGTACACGAGGCCAAGCCAAACCGCAAGCTCTTTATAAGCCTCTGCTTTTTTATCTGTGAATATCCCACTGGCAAAATCCAAGTCACATGGCCACCTCCAGCGTCCCTGGGGACGGGGGGAATGTACTCCTGTGGAAGCCGGTGGGGAGGGAGGGAGTGTCTCCCAGAGACCAGCATTGCTAAAACCTGTATAAGGTAGTTTCCTTTTAAAGTCAAAAACAAAACAAAACATTCCTTAAGTACCTCTGGGGTTGGCCAGAGTTATTTTTATTATAATTCACTTAAATATATAGGTATACAAAATGACTTATAGACATCTGGTGCTGGTAGTCTCATAACCGCTGTAAAAACAAATGTACAAATTAAACTCAGACAAAACTGCAAAGCCAATAAAACAAAACATCATTAGTGCCAGGTAAAGGATCATGTCGTTTTGCTGCCAGGACTGGTTGCTTTCAGTCTGACTGTGGTGCTGACTGCGATGGCCCAGTTTCCCTTGCATTCATCATGCCTGGGGTGCTACGTGCTATGGGAGCCCCACCTTTCTAAAACAGTTTTTCTGTTTCTGCAATCTCCGGGATCATTAGTCTGCACTTGATGCAAATGCCTTATTTTTTATTTCAAGCCTGCTTCTATTCTTTGCTCATTAGACCATGACAATTAATTAATTTCTACTCAATACCAATGCTTCAAAAAAAAAAATCCAAACGCACCAAAATGAATGAAGAGAGAACTGTGCTGTGGAATTACGTATTTATGGATTTTCCGATGATCCAGAATAGGAACATAAAGGGACATATTTTTAAGACCATTATTTAAAGGAAGCTTCAGATCTTTGCACTTCTCACCGAGAACCCCCCCAGAGAAACACAGACCTCAGTTTGAGAAACGCTGAGCTAGCCCACCGGCTCCATGGTGGGGCCTCCTGACCATCTGGATCATGAAGCCACTCTTGAGTGCAGCCCCATGTTCTGGGATCCACACCTCCATCTGCTGCCTCCTTATTGCTCATTCACTGTTACTAACACATCCACTACAATCCCAAGCCAGGCTCTAAAAGCTCAAAAGTACTCCTGATAGACTATCTAAAATGAAATAGACCAGAAAGATGAGGGAGAAAGAGACCTGAGAAACACAGCATTTCGTTGTCAGGCGTGAGCATCTGTCAGTGTCTGCCCTGCCAGCAGCCACTGGGACCCTCCCCAGCTGCTGCGGCCTCAGCGAGCCTTCTGGCAGAATGACCCAGCCCGCTCATTCTTCCAGGAATTTGAATCTCCAGGGGAAGGATGTCAGGATGGAAAATGACTGTTGCAATTCATCCTGCTCGAAAAGACTATCCCTGAGTCCCCTAGTATTTAGAATCCCGGAAATGTCCAGTTTCCTTTCTGGGGCCACATTACATAGAATTCACACTTTTCCTTCACTTCTGGGAGCTGCCCATGGCCTTGCAATGGATTCTTTTCGGTCTAAGTAGCCAGAGTTGGTTTCTGTACGCCAACTGATAGATACTCCAACATGAATTTCTAAACATAAACAATCTCAAACAAGGCAATGATTACACGAATGAATGCAACTGTGTTTGCCTTTAGATTCCCAAAACAGAAGTGATCTCATCCCCAAATGCTGTTTATGCTGTACACTCAGCTGCTGCAGCCTGGAGTTAACCCTTCCTCTCCCGTCCTCTGGCCCCAGAGCTCTGGGAACCCCCACCAAGAGGCCAGAGCACTGATAAAGGTCACTCCCCCACGCTGTCAGGGTCTGGGGCAAGACAGGTTTATGCTTCTCTAACCCATCCCAGACCCCTCACACAGCCGAGACTGGGACGATGAGGGCTGGGGGAGAACCAACGATGGCTCCTTACACCTCCATGGCACAACCAAGCTCAAGTAGTCCAAGTATCAAGAATACTCTATATTTTTTCAGTCTTTGTATGAACACTGCCTGCCCCCACCCCCTTTCCTGGCACATTTGTTGAACCTTTCCTACTTCTACAACTGATACAAATCAAAAACAAACAGCATTCCACAGACAGAGCACCTTGGGGACAGGGACTAAATCAGTGGTTCTCAACTTTTCTAATGCCGCGACCCTTTAATACAGTTCCTCATGTTGTGGTGACCCCCAACCATAAAATTATTTTCGTTGCTACTTCATAACTGTAATTTTGCTACTGTTATGAATCGTAATGAAAATATCTGATATGAAGGATGTATTTTCACTGTTACACATTGAACATCATTAAAGCATAGTGATTAATCACAAAAACAATATGTAATTATATATGTGTTTTCCGATGGTCTTAGGTGACCCCTGTGAAAGGGTCGTTCGATCCCCAAAGGGGTAGCAACCCACAGGTTGAGAACCGCTGGACTAAATCATATTCATCTCTAAAAGCTCAGGGTGAAGCACAGTAGTTACATGCAGTGCCTGCTCAGTGAACCTGCTCATTGTGCTGGGTGATTGAATCGATGGCTCAGTCAATCCAAGGATATACACAGTCACTTCTGGAACATCATCATCATCATCATCATCATCACGGTAATAATAGCAAACACTGATATGGCACCTACTGTGTGCCAGGCACTGTTCTAAGAATCCTCAGGTGTTAATATTCAATCTCCATAGCAGCTCCGGAGTAGTTACTGTCATCATCCCAATTTCACAAGCCAGGAAACAGTATCGCGTTGCTCACTGGCCCAAGGTCACCCAGGGAGCAGGTGGCAGAGTGGGGATGCTAACCCAGGCAGGTGGCCCAGAGTCCCTGCTCAGAGCCACGGCATTGCATCATCTCTCACGGGACAAGCGTATGCCAGGCCAAGCCCCCACAGTGCCTGGAGGGTAGAGATCCTGCCCTGATCCCCCACACACCTGAAAGAGCAGGTGCTGAGACTGGCTTAGGAAGGACACGCACGGTTCGCTCCCGTTCCCTCAGGCACCTGCTCCAAAAGGACTGGAGAAACAGTGGAGGAAAAAAACAGCTACTCTGTGAATTTCAAACATATTATATCCTGAATTCCTCAGGTACCCACCCACCCTTCTACCCATTAATTACAGCTCTTAGCCACGGCCCCTGAGAGACACTTAATGAAATGTAACAGTAAGCCACAGCTGAAGTTACTCTTGGAACAACTGCTTTTTTGGATGACATGAAAATATTTATTATTTCTCAATGTTATGTCTAAAAGTAGACAAAAGGGAAAAAGATATATACACTCTCCTACGCGGTGATGATGACAACGATGATTTTGAGAAAAGGTTTTTCACAAATCGAGGCTGAAGTTGGGGACTACAACAGAGCAGCAACGGCACTCTGTCACTAGGAGCGCAGCTGACCAAATGAAAGGAAAAGCTACATCAAAATGCTTTCATTGGATTTGGCAACTTTTGTTGAAAAAGCCTCCTTCATTTCCGTAACTTCAGAAATATTACACAAATTTAAACTGTCATTTCTTTTGGTATCCAATTCCATGCCAAAGTTTTGAGAAACATTTGTTTGTAGTATGTCCAGTGCCACAGGTACTGCTGTCCTTGCACCATTAATGGTTTGTTCCATTTCTGTTGCTGAAGGAAACGAAGATCCTGCTTGTTCCATTTCCACGGGTACTGAAGAAGAGGTCTCTGTACCGCAAATGGGCAAGCCACACTGCATAGTATTCGAATCAGATTTAATTAACAAACTATTTTCTTCTTCCGTTTTCCTTTCCAGAATACTGGTCCTGGGTTCAGATGATGCTGTTGCAAGAGCATCTTCTGGTTCCAATAACTTTGATTTGGTTTCCTCTGTGATATGTTCACTCACAGAGGGAACACATATCACTGTTTTATCCTGTACCAAGGACTCTAAATCACATATGCCACTGGATTTGGGAGTATTGGTTATTTTATGCTGATTATTCTGAGGAATAGGCTGCTTTTTAGCAGGAGAAAGAGTTAAGTTCAATTTTTCCATAAAACTCAACTTTAAGTCTTTGTTTTTTGTTTCATTTGGACCACTCTCGGCTTTAATTGCAAGGTCTTTATTATCTGTGCGTTCAGAAACATCATTATTAGAAACTTCACCTTTATCATTTTTCAGTCCATTCTGTCTCTTTAAATCAGTAGTGGTTTGCTTGGTTTCTTTGTTAATCTTCTGCAAATGTCCCATAGATGTTCTTTTTTCACTTCTCATATACCTGTTTTCTTCTTTGCTTTCTTGTTCTCTTTTCCTCTTATCTTCAGTTCTATGCCTTTCTGCTTCTAAAGGTGTATTTCCCCTTTGGTGCACAGCATCAACTTCCTTGGGGTCAATGTGTTTGTGAGTTCTACTGGTTGAAAGGGAGGATGAACATCTTCCTTCTTGAAAACTATGATTACTTACACCCCGGTCTCTTTTACCATCTTCCCTGTCTCTTCTGTCTTCTAGATGGTATTTACTTGAATTATGAGATTTTATTTCATTCTTAGAATGAGGAAGAGATGATACTCGTTCAGACCTTCGCCAATAATCTTGGTCTTTTACTACTGATTTGGGTTTTTGATCAACTTTTCTTTCTTCTTTGTCTTGTGATTTAAGTTCTTTTTTATTTATATTTTGTGATCTTTCACTTTGCCTCTCTAGTTTTCTATCGCTCTGAGATTCTACTCGAGTATGTGACCTCTCTCTAAAGGTCTCCTTCTGCCAGGAACAGCCAAAGCGTTCATTTTTATAATCCAAATCTGTGTTACTTTTAAACTTTGAATTTTTGCTTTCAGTCTTTGATTCACTTTTACCATATTTCTCAGAACGTCCTTGTAGCCTTGGACTGGCCTCTGAGTTCCTTGGTTCACCATCACCACAGCTAGTGTTTAAGTCTTTTCGTATTCTATCAGTTCCTCTACTATAATAGCTATATCCACTATCTTTCTTCCCTCTTCTATTATCCTCACTTGAGCTACTCTCACCAACCTGATAATGGGAACGTGACCAAATGCCATTGGTGCAGTGTTTTTCAATAGATGAAGGCAAATGCAAAGTGCTTTTTTTTTCCAAATGCGGTTTTACTTCCTTTTCGATGTTTGGGAGTGAAGTGCTATGATGTCCATCTTTAGAAATATCACATTGCACCTTGTGATCAGTCTTTGCACAATCATCCAAATGGGGAGGTCTGGATGTAAAGTCTTTTGTTTTAACTATATCTGACGTCCTTGCAGTTTTACGACTATTTCGAAAATGTGGAAACTCACACAATCTTTGGTGAAGGCGACTAACTTCTTCATCCTTGCGGTTTATTTCCATTCTAGCAGTTTTGAGAAGTGCTGAAATATTCTTCTTAAGAGACTGGTTTTCAGTTTTTAAGCTAAAATTCTGTGTCTGTATTTCCTTAAACTTTTTCATCAGCTCTTTCATTTGTAGCTGACATTTTCCATATTTTATTTGCAAATCATTATATGTTGCCTCCTTTGCAGTTCCTTCTTCAGCAAGAATTTCTTCATACAAATCCAAACAATTTCTAGATGGTTCACAGGACTTGGGAGAACTATCAGAAACAGCACTGTCCAACCCAGCATATATGTTCAGAGAACCTTCATCATTATTTTTAAGAGGAGAAGCCGAGAAGACATCAAATAAACTTGTTCCATCACCATTTTCATCATCTGCTGCCATGGTCCTATTTCCTTTTAATAGTTGCCATCAAATCCCAAACCAAAGTGTTGGGGTCCAACCCCAGCAGGTCCCCAGCAGGTCCAGGGGTTCCCAAAGGTGTGGACGGAGTCGGCGAAGAATGAAGGAATGACATGGAGACAGAGTTCAGTTGATCAGCAGCCTAGCCAGGTTCTCTAGCCAGGTTCTAGCCAGGATCTCCAGCCAGGTTCTGTGTTTATTGTCTTGTTACATTTGTATTTATACCAGTTGATTTTAATCCTATCAATTCTATTCCAAAGATTAGAGAGTTTCTTATCTCCATTCCAGGGAATAAAGATTATGTAGGTTAAGCGTGATTGTTCGTAGTTAAAGTGATTAACTACCCGCCTGGCACTTAGTTAGGAGGTTTTATTCCCTCCCTAACTTCAGGGGAAAATCCCTACCTGGGAAAACAGCCTTTCTCAGAGAGGTGATCTTGGTTAAAACACATAGTGCCAAGAAGGGGAGCAAACATATTAAGAACAGTATGCCATATACGCCAGGTCCCTTGAAACATATGCTGTGCAGATGTTTCTTCCCTGCAGCGACTGTGTCAAGCAGCAAGGATGGACTGGCTTCTGACAAATTCCCCCTTTTTTATTTTTTTAAATGATAGCGCATGTAAATCAGCGGCCACCTCTCAGATTGGGTTGTTTAAGACTCGGAAGAAGACTGACAAGCAATGATAGCGAGCATAGCTATAAACATAGTGGATGGAGTGCACAAGGAGCCTTGTTCCTGTAGAAGGTTGCTGGCCTCTTCAGTCAAGGGATTTCAGCTGTCCTCAAGTCGGGGGGTTGGTTGTCCTTGTTGATCTGGCTAGCGGGCGGCGTCATTGGCGACGGGCTTCCCGAAGTGTCAGCGAGTTGAAGGGCTGCATCAAAGGGTCCATCAGGGTCGCACTTGATGGTGGTGTCGGTGTCCGGGGAGGAGTCAGCTGTGCCCTCTGGGTCGGCCACCTGGTTCGGCCCAACACAGCCCAGAATCCTTTCGGTACAGCCAAGTATTTTATTTCTTTATCCCTTATTTGAAATACCAGAAAGAGCCTTACTGCATTGCTCATGAAATGCAATTCAACAACCTTTGAGTTTTATCCCAGCTGTCCCATCCCAATAAATGGCCAAACACCTGCACAGATGCTCAAGCCAAATACAATGTGTGTGTGGGAGGGGGAGCAGGGAGGGACATACATATATGCCTCAGCCAGCTAACCGCTGTCCACATCCACAGCGCTGGGAAAATGAGAAAGCTAAAAAGCAGAAGGGGGTTTGAAGTCTGAAGGGAGGGTGGAGGAAAGAAGAAAGAAACAGCTGGAGAGATGTTCTCCAGGCCCAAAATAGTAACTCGGTGTGGCTGCAACAGATTCCAATCTGCTAACCTGAAAAGTCACGTTACATTGTCCTGATGGGAATCAGTGAGGCATTTTTTTCATGTCCGTCCATGTATTCCCACTGCCCCACAGGCAGGCCCCATCTGCAGGCTGCCTGTTACCTCGGGACAGGTGGGCCAGGGACAAAGTGATAGGGGGCGGCTGAGGATGTGAACAGCTCCAGGGCCCATTCAGGCCCCTGTCTCAGCTCCTGGCAGCAACCCAAGGAGGGCTGGCTCTAGATCTTGGGGAGGTTATTCCTCCATTTTCAAATGCACGTAAAGTGGAGGCCTCGAGAGGCATCAAATGGAAAACACGGAGGGCAAGGGCACTGAGCCTTTTGGAACTCAGCTTTTGCTCCTATCTCCTGCCTCCTCCCTCCCTGACCTTGTCCCCAATTTTAAACTCCCCCTGGGCTATAGGGGTTATCTATGGGAGCACCAATATTATAAAGATTGCCAGTGCCCTCCCTCAAAAAGAAAAATCCAGAACATTCCCACCCTACCACATGTCTAAGTAGACAGGTTGGGGGCGGGGGGGGGGTTACTGACAGTTTTTGATAACTTTATAACTATATATCATTTTATAAATACACCTGACTCTCAATTATTCACAGGAAGACAAATAAGTCTTCAGAAAACCCAGCAGGATTCTTTGGAACTATTAGTTTCTCCTTCCTGGACCCAACACCCCTTATCCTCTGATGAGGAGGCCAGTAAGGACTGAAATGATCAAAATGCAGGCAGCCCAGGAAAGTCCAAAAAGAAACATCACGGGTCATGTGTTCCGGAATTATCACGAGGGCATTAAGCCAGAAAGAATTCTTGTCCCAAGAAGGCCACCTCCCTCCTCACCGACCTTTCCTAAAATGAGGTTTATATCGCCTATATATTCTTCATAGCCCTTTGCTATGAAGACCAGTTTCAGCTCCTTGCCCCGGGTGAGAGGTTTGTATCTCCACCACCACCTTGCAGTTAATTAGAGGCGTGTGGAGTAACTAGCTCCAGAATCTTCACTGAGCCCATATCCTGCGAGTGGCCTGGTGCTGGGCCTGGAGGGCACACCACAAACAAGACAGTTCTGCCTCAGTGAGGTTTGGGGCATGGCCTGGGAGGCAGCCATTAATTACACAGATAGCTATTTCATTACCATGTGATCTCGTTTTAAAAGAATACAACTTGGGAAAACCATTTCCTTTCCAGGCTGGCAGTTAGGGAGGAGAGGTAAGTCAGCAGCGAGGCGGGCAGGTGCCCACGGGTCAAGGTCTGACTGTGGGGCATGTCAGAAATGGAACCTTCCACACAGTCTTTGTTCTCTGAAAAAGCAACAGGGACGTTGCACCCGGAGTCATTTGTGCAGGAGGAACAGATCCATATTAAATTAAAACATTCGCACCCTGGCTGGGTGGCTCAGTTGTTTGGAGCACTGTCCTGTACATCAAAAGGTTTCAGGGTCAATTCCTGGTCAGGGCACATGCCCGGGGTTGCAGGCTCGATCCCCAGTGTGGGGCATGCAGGAGGCAGCCTATCAATGACTCCCTCACATCATTGATGTTTCTATCTTTCCCTCCCTCTCTTTACCTCTCTGAAATCAGTAAAAATATATTTTAAAAACATAAAATAAAATGTATGATAACTTTAGACTTAACAGCCTGAAAATGAATGTGCATCATTGAATTTAGTGTTTATTCATTTATTTAACAACTAGAGGCCCAATGCACGAAATTCATGCAAGGGGCTTGGCCCTTGCGGCCCCAATTTCATCAGGAAGGTCGTCCGGATGGTCGTTCCGCTGTTTGGCTGTCCGGTCTAATTAGCATATTATGCTTTTATTATTATAGATTATTAAGCACTTTCTTTGTACCCAGAGCTAGACGAAGTTGTATAGCATTTTAGGGCTGAAAGGACCCTGTTCTAAAGAAGTTTCTATACTGGTATTTTGAGTTGAATTGTGTGTCCCAAAATTTCATGTACTAAAGCTTAATGCCCAGTTCCTCAGAATGTGTCCTTATTTAGAAATAGAGTCATTGCAGATTAACTAGTTAAATTTAAATGAGTTCACACTAGAGTAGGGTGGGCCCCTAATTCAATATGACTAGTGTTCCTACAGAAAGAATAACACCTTAATCTCTGACTTCTAGGCTCCAGAACTGTGAGACAGTAAATTTCAGGAATTTGAAGCCACCCAGTTCATGGTACTTTATATGGCAGCTCAAGCAGATGAGCACGATTGGTTATGTACCTATTCCTTCTTGGCTCCAAGCCCAGCATTCTCTCCTCTGCTCTGTGGGGCCGAAGCAGGAACTGCAAAAAGGGTACACTACTCCCCTGTCAGCTGGCTTCCCGGCAGGTTCTGCAACACAAGGCACTAGACTAGAGAGAGAATGGAAGGTGAGAGAGAGAAGGGACTTCCAGTTTCCAGTTTAAGGTTCTGCAACACAAGGCACTAGAGAAAGAATGAAGGTGAGAGAGAGAAGGGACTTCCAGTTTCCAGTTTCTGTCAGCATCACACCAGCTTCAGTCCCAGCTTCTCTGTCCACTCCCCACACCAGCCACCCCGTGCCTCCTTGGATGTGCTGCCCTCTGAGCCACACCCACCCGGCCATCAAAATGCCAACCGCTGCACTGCTTCCCCAGCCAGCTGCACCTCCCCTCAGGTCCAGCCCACCCTGCCAGGCCCCCTCCCCAGAGCTCCTAGGTTCTCCTTATTCTACCTCCTCGCTGCTGCTTTTTGCAGTTAGCACCTGTGGGTGACTTCGGCATTTCGTCTTGCTCTTTTAGATTCCCAACATGTGTAAAAACAATTCCCTGTATGAAATCTCTGTTTGAAATACCTACTATGGTTTTGGGGTTTTCTGACTGGACCGTAAGTGATTTAGCTTACAATGCCCACAAATATACAAAAATTCAACAATATAAGCACGTCAAGCAAGATTCACAATAAATAGTGTTGGCAATGGTGCAGGTAAACACCCTCAATTTGATGTTGATGAGAATATAAGTATCATTCAGATTTTCTGCAAGGAAGTTTGGCAAAATGAGTCAAAAGATAAAATATGCATGGTTTGAGTTGTAAAATCCCACTCCTAGAAATTTACCCTAAGGAATGAATCAAATAACACAAGATTTGTGCATAAGGATGTCATTGCAAGTAGCCATTAAAATAATGCAGCTATATATTCTTGACATGGAAATATACCCATGTCACAGTTTGTTAAGAGACGGAAGTAGATTTACATATGGCAGCTATAGCATAAAAAAAATGTTGGAAAACAATTATAATTATTTTATAACAAATGATTACAAAGAGTAATTATTTGTAGGTGGTAGGAATTCAGGTGGCTGGGCAAGGTACCAGTTGCTTGGGGCAAAGAGAAGTGTTCTATTAATAATGGTTACAAAAATACTTATAGAACCCTGTTCTAATGTCAATTTGTAAATGCTTAAAAAGCGGTTCTCAACCTGTGGGTCACGACCCCTTTGGCGGTCGAACGACCCTTTCACAGGGGTCACCTAAGACCATCCTGCATATCAGATATTTACATTACCATTCATAACAGTAGCAACATTACAGTTATGAAGTAGCAACGAAAATAATTTTATGGTGGGGTCACAACATGAGGAACTGTATTTAAAG